TTGCCGCCCTCCGTGCCGCCGCCCGCCAGCGCGTACCGGTACCAGATCCCCGGGTACAGGCGGCCCAGCTGTTGCCCAAAATGACCGCCCATGATGATGTGGAAGTCTACCTGCAGATGTTTGAGAACACCGCCACGACGGAGGGCTGGGCTCACGACGACTGGGCACGAGCGCTGGCACCCCTCTTAACTGGGGAAAGCATCCTAAGCAGGGTTAATATCACTAACTAAACCCATTAAAAACCTTTTCATCGCTCAAAATAACATACACATGAACAGAAATAAAACATCTATGTTTTAAAGTCGACATCATACTGGTTTTAAAAGATAATCTGGGTGAAGCACAATCTGTGAAAGGTGGTTTATGGTGTTATTGCATCAGTGTTTGTGTCGTGCTGCTCTGATAAAACACTGATAATCATTCAGCTCTGAAAGATGCAGTCCAGAGTACAAACCAACTAATGCTGAGCATGAGCTGACCATCATCCGTGATGCTGCTAATGAGACACAGAGACGCTCACAGATCAGTTGCCCTGCTTATAAATCAAGCTTACGATGCATTTGTGAAAGTTCGGTCCTGTGAAAAATCTGTTTTCTGATCCATATCAAAGCCACTGAGAGACTCTTTTATGCTGCAGTTACGGATCATTTGCACGACGTTTGATGTGCCGAAGCGGCCTCAGAAACACAGCTCTGTCCTTATAATAACACCGCGAAACCTGCGCTGTTTTTATTAGACTCATGACTGATTCCTGATCTGAAGACAGCACAGGCATTCATGCATGAGCAGGACATCATTTGCAATGAATCGTCCTGACTTTAACATCTGAGAAACATCCGGGACAGATATTTAGCAATACAATTACAGCTGTTTCTTTTCGTGTCGCTATTAATATTCTGACATTAAAATCCTACAGTTGAGATTGAGGATCAGGGTTATTATGGTTTAAACTAATCCTGAAACATGAAATAAAACAAGTCACATTTTGATTAATTTAACTTGAAACGCTAAAATAATTGCAGCTAAAACTGAAATAAAAAAAATTAACAAAACTGCAGAGACATGTTACAAAAAACTGTCAAAAAAACCCACAACAAAAATAAATGTTAATTGCAATGAAATAAAAAAATATATAAGAAAGCAAACTTATTACTTATTAATGCAACATTGTTTCACTTTTGATTAGTTTAACTAAGTACTCAAATTAAATATTGAATTAAATAATAATAATACATGGTAACTGAAATAAAACAAAGACATTACATTTATTTCAGCTAGGTGCCAAGGCAACATTTCACATTTTGAATAGTTTAACTTGAAACACTAAAATAATTACAACTAAAACTGAAATTAAAAACTGAACAAAACTACAGAGACATATAAAAAGCAAAACTAACAAAACTGGGGGAAAAAAGAAAATAAAGAATGTTAATTGCAATAAAATAAAGAAATATCAGAATGTAAACTTATTTTATTTTAACTAGTTAAAGTTTAACTAGTAAATTTAAACTTTTCATTAGTTTAAGCACTATATTTAATAATTATATTTATTTAAATATGTATATATATATATATGTAAATATTTATTATAAATACTAATAATAAATTAAATAATAAATGTTAACTGAAATAAATTAAAACTTTAAACTTATTTTAACTATCTAATTTTTATTTAGTTCAATTTGAAGTACTAAAATAACTAAAAAAATATATATAAATAATACTAAAATAAGTGATCAAACTTTCACAAGTTAAGGTGAAAATAGAAAATATTAAAATAAAATCTAATTAAAAGAATGAACCAAAGCTACAACAGTTGCAACAGTAGTAGTAAAGTGATGATGTCATGGTGCTGAGGGCAAAGGTCAAAGGCCGTGATCTGATCAGACTGAACCCTCTATAGATCTGTACTCTTTTACCCCGCATGACATTTAACCCGATTTCACAGTAACTGACCAACCAGGACCATCAAGTCAGGTTAATAATTATTTATCTCTGTGTCTGACGATATAAAAGCATCTTTCAAATGCTCTGGAGTTACTCAACATATTCACCGGTCACCATGTCGTTCAGTGGGAAATATCAGCTGGAGAGTCAAGAGGGATTCGTGGAGTTCATGAAGGCTGTCGGTGAGTCGAAATCTAACATTAATGCATGGATCTGATGAGTACTGGATCTGAATGAACTGCTGATAAACTGACCAGTTACATGCATTGCACTGAGTGTTACATGCATTGCACTGAGTGTTGCATGCATTGCACTGAATGTTACATGCATTGCACGGAGCGTTTCATGCATTGCATTGAGTGTTGCATGCATTTCATTGAGTGTTGCATGCATTGCACTGAGCGTTTCATGCATTGCATTGAGTGTTGCATGCATTGCACTGAGTGTTGCATGCATTGCACTGAATGTTACATGCATTGCACGGAGCGTTTCATGCATTGCATTGAGTGTTGCATGCATTTCATTGAGTGTTGCATGCATTGCACTGAGCGTTTCATGCATTGCATTGAGTGTTGCATGCATTTCATTGAGTGTTACATGCATTGCACGGAGCGTTTCATGCATTGCATTGAGTGTTGCATGCATTTCATTGAGTGTTGCATGCATTGCACTGAGCGTTTCATGCATTGCATTGAGTGTTGCATGCATTTCATTGAGTGTTACATGCATTGCACGGAGCGTTTCATGCATTGCATTGAGTGTTGCATGCATTGCACTGAGTGTTGCATGCATTGCACTGAGCGTTTCATGCATTGCACTGAGTGTTACATGCATTGCACGGAGCGTTTCATGCATTGCATTGAG